TTTTGGTAAATACTTTATTTCAATGTTTCAAAAATAATATTTTACAGAATATCAAAATTAACAAAATAACACAACTTCTTGCTTCTGCTATTTGCTACTGTTTCCATTTTTTTTGTTTCCATAAGAATTCGCTAGCACCACTAGAAAAAAAGTAATTTGTATCTGAGGCCCCTTCAACACTGCCATATAATCCTGATTATCAAATCAGAGAATCCACATTATTGGCTTTGAACTGGATATTTGTCCACACTGCCACACAATCCAGTTCAAAGCAGATGATCTGGATTTTATATGGCACTGTAGAGGGAGCCCTAAAGTATTTGGCTCATTGGGGAATGATCCCTAACCATGACTAGAAAGATGTGTAGCTTCCTCTCTGATTCGTTCTAGAAGAAGGATAACTTCAGGCTTATGTGGCCTTCAGAATGAAACAAAATTATAATCCCAATGTTCCACCAATGTGGCACAAAGGACATAATCAGTGTGACTTGACAGTGAAGATATAACTGGAGTCTGATTTCCATTGCTAAGTAGACAATCCCTGATGCTTCAAAAGGCACATGTGATGAGGTCCCAGGTTATGTGATCCTAGAGTATTTTTGAACTGCCTTGCTTGTGAAAGACCTGATCCAATCAAGGTCCTTTCCAAGAATATTGGCAAATTGAAGGCAATAGTTGAGCTAACAATGATTCCTGCTCACTGCAATATCACTCTGTTCCCTTATAATGCTCTCCAGTCAGTTAATCATTCCCCATTCAATGCATCTTCCTGTCACAATGAGGTTGCCATGGCTGCTATGCTGTCTAAGTAGCCAATTTAGGATTAGGAATCAAAGGCCAGGCAGTTGTGCTTAAATGGCAACTTGGGCTATGTACACATATTTTCAGAGGGCTTGTGTGGATTGCCATAGAAACACGGAAAGCTTCTTTACAACAAGAGACATGGGGTCCTTCCGCACAGCCCTCTATCCCACAATATCAAGGCAGAAAATCCCACAATATCTGATTTGAACTGGGTTATCTGAGTCCACACTCAATCCTACACTAATGTCGCATTTCCTGCCACGATATTCTGGGAAATAGGGCTGTGTGGAGGGGCCTATGACTATTTGAAAAGATGTTGTAAAGGAACAGGGAGCAGGCTTGTTTTCTGCTGCCCTGGAGACTAGGGTTCAGAGCAATGGGTTCAAACTATAGGAAAGGAGATTCTGCCTGAACATTTGGAAGAACTTCCTGACTGTAAGATCTGTTCAGCAGTATAACTCTCTGCCTCGGAGTGCAGTGGAAGCTCCTTCTTTAGAGGCTTTTAGCAGAGGCTGGATAGCAATCTGTAAGGGGTGCTTTGATTGTGCATTCCCTGCATGAAGGTAGAATGAAGGGGGTTGGACTAGATGGCACATGTAGTCTCTTACAGCTCTATTATTCTAAGGGCCATTCCACACAGCCATATAAACCAGAATATCAAGGCGGTTAATCCACAATATCTGCTTTGAGCTGGGTTATGTGAGTCTACAATGCTATATAATCCAGTTCAATGGAGATCTTTACAGCTGTGTGGAAGGGGCCTAGGTCAAACCAATGATCCAGTAGTTGTGTACTCTAGTTTTTCTAATCAGATATTCTCCCAACATGGAATATTGCAGTCCAATACATTTAGAGGTCATCAGATTAGGAAAGACTGACCTGGTGTGATTCATACTACACACAAGGGCATTGGCCATGGTTTGAGCTGCATGTGCTTTGTCCCACCTTTTAGGCTTTCATTTCAGACATCTGGCTTACCCGTAGGAAACAAAATGCTCTGTTGTGTAGGCCTTTGATCTGATCCAGCAGAGTTCATCTTACATTTCTGACTTTTCTTCATCTACTATGTCTACTTCTTATAGGAGAAACCAGGCATTGAACTGGATACTCTCTGAGCACAAAAATATGTGCCCTTAGATCCTCAGTCATTCTCATTCATATTACACAAATATAAATATTATATTGTCGAAGAAAATCTAACAAAAGGTAAGCAGACAAGGATACATATTCATTCAATCGCACTGCTGTTGTGTTGAGTTGTGGTTTTAAATTGTCTGTATCACATTTATTCTCACAGCAGCCTTTAGAGGAGGTAGATCAGTCTTGTTTTGATTGCAGAAATGGAAAGTATGGGCAAAACAGGGTTTTTGCAGGTGAGTTGAACCTGGAGGCAGGAGCAGTTACTTCATAGCCTCTGGATTTGGTCCTTCCTTCTGTCCAAACATAAGATGTTTAGAATAATCCATCAGAAACATACATAGAATGATCCTTTAGTTTTTGCATGTTTGGTTTCTAGGTAGCAATTTTTCAAGTGAAGGTTGGAGTGTGTAGATGGAGGTATTTGATTCTAAATGTCTTTAATCAGGACTGGAGTTCATATAGCTCTAAGTCATATAGCTCTAAGTAGAAAAAGGAAAAACAAGTAGGTGATAGGACCTCTTCGAGGAGAAGATGGGGCAATGCTGACAGGGGATAGGGAAAAGGCAGAACTACTTAATGCCTTCTTTGCCTCGGTCTTCTCACAAAAAGAAAGTCATCTTCAACCTCAGCAAGATGGAGTGGATGAGGGATTAGAGGACATCCAACCCCAAATTGGGAAACAAGTCGTCCAGGAATACCTGGCCGCTCTAAATGAGTTCAAGTCCCCAGGTCCAGATCAACTACACCCAAGAGTACTGAAGGAACTAGCGGAAGTCATTTCGGAACCATTGGCAACCATCTTTGATAGGTCTTGGAGAACGGGAGAAGTTCCAGCAGATTGGAGGAGGGCCAATGTGGTCCCAGTCTTCAAGAAGGGAAAAAAGGATGACCCAAACAACTACCGTCCGGTCAGCGTCACGTCGATACCGGGCAAGATTCTGGAAAAGACTGTTAAGGAAGTGGTCTGCAAGCACTTAGAAACAAATGCGGTCATTGCTAATAGTCAACATGGATTTATCAAAAACAAGTCATGCCAGACTAATCTGATCTCTTTTTTCGATAGAGTTACAAGCTGGGTAGATGCGGGGAATGCCGTGGATGTAGCGTACCTGGATTTCAGTAAGGCCTTCGACAAGGTCCCCCATGACCTTCTGGCAAGGAAACTAGTCCAATGTGGGCTTGGCAAAACTACGGTGAGGTGGATCTGTAATTGGTTAAATGGACGAACCCAGAGGGTGCTCACCAATGCTTCCTCTTCATCTTGGAAAGAAGTGACAAGTGGAGTGCCGCAGGGTTCTGTCCTGGGCCCAGTCCTGTTCAACATCTTTATTAATGACTTAGATGAAGGGTTAGAAGGCATGATCATCAAGTTTGCAGACGACACCAAATTGGGAGGGATAGCCAATACTCCAGAGGACAGGAGCAGGATTCAAAACGATCTTGACAGATTAGAGAGATGGGCCAAAACTAACAAAATGAAGTTCAACAGTGACAAATGCAAGATACTCCACTTTGGCAGGAAAAACGAAATGCAAAGATACAGAATGGGGGATGCCTGGCTCGAGAGCAGTACGTGTGAAAAAGATCTTGGAGTCCTCGTGGACAACAAGTTAAACATGAGCCAACAATGTGATGTGGCGGCAAAAAAAGCCAATGGGATTTTGGCCTGCATCAATAGGAGCATAGTGTCTAGATCTAGGGAAGTAATGCTACCCCTCTATTCCGCGTTGGTTAGACCACACCTGGAATATTGTGTCCAATTCTGGGCACCACAATTCAAGAGAGATATTGACAAGCTGGAATGTGTCCAGAGGAGGGCGACTAAAATGATCAAGGGTCTGGAGAACAAGCCCTATGAGGAGCGCTTAGGGAACTGGGCATGTTTAGCCTGAAGAAGAGAAGGCTGAGAGGAGATATGATAGCCATGTATAAATATGTGAGAGGAAGCCACAGGGAGGAGGGAGCAAGCTTGTTTTCTGCTTCCTTGGAGACTAGGACGCGGAACAATGGCTTCAAACTACAAGAAAGGAGATTCCATCTGAACATGAGGAAGAACTTCCTGACTGTGAGAGCCATTCAGCAGTGGAACTCTCTGCCCCGGAGTGTGGTGGAGGCTCCTTCCTTGGAAGCTTTTAAACAGAGGCTGGATGGCCATCTGTCAGGGGTGATTTGAATGCAATATTCCTGCTTCTTGGCAGGGGGTTGGACTGGATGGCCCATGAGGTCTCTTCCAACTCTTTGATTCTATGATTCATCTTCGTGATTTGAAAAGTGCTTCTCTACTGGGCCTAAAACAGCCCAAAGACATTGTAGAACTGCCCTTCCATTGGCAAAAGCACACGGGGCATTTTGCTTTTCTCACACACACACACACACCCACACACACAAAGTTTTAAAAATTCTGTGGGGATAAGAGTGCAGCAGTGAGGTGTAACTGTCTTTCTGTGCTGGGTGATGTAGCCCTGAAATCCTGATGGATCGATTGCAACAGATGGCATGAACTGTGCAGTTTCTTCATAAGTGCTTGTGGCAAATCCATTGGCAGCCTGGTGTCTGTTTGGTTTCCACAGGCTTCTGACAATGAGACATGGCTGAGATTTTATAAGTGGCCAGAGGCCAGAGCAATTTACCTCTCTTGAGTAAATACTAGTCCTTCAAGAAGTTCAGTCTGCAAGAAAAGAGATCAACATGTGAATGGTAAAATACCCCACTGGAAGAATTGCACCTCTAATG